CCAACTCCCCACCGGGCGCATCCCCAGCCTTTTCCAAGCTTAGACTTTCCCCTGGCCACTCTCCCAGCCACGTCACAGTGAACAAGCAAACTTTCCCTGAAGTCCTTCTTAATATCTTCTTTCTGTGTTTTTGTTTTCATTGGCTTTTTTTGTCTGTTGTTGTTTGTTTTCCAGGCCTGAGGGGGTGACAGGGCAGCACACGGGGTTCTGGGGGAATGGTGAGCCTCCTCCATGGGAAACCTCACCCACCGGCAAACACGCTGGCTCTGCGGTCCCTGTAGTCTGACCTGGGGGGAGTTCATCTCTTCGTGACTCAGTTTCCTCAGCTGAAAAATGAGGGAGGGATTAAAGGCATCATCCTCACAAGAAGAAGAGAGGTGACCGGCAGAGTAGGAAAAGGACAAGACTGGCAAGAGTAAGGCAAGCCCCCCGGGCCACCCACCGCGGACGCCGTCTCCTCTTTGGGCCTCAGATTCCTTATCCATAAAAGAAGAGGCTGTTTGGATGACGCGTTAGCGTGTCTTCAGGGGGCGTGGGGCATATTCCAGGCCCCACTCGGGCGCTGAGAACCGGGGTCAGGGAATGTTAGATCGGCATTATTCCGCGTCTTTCTGTCCGAGAGATCCGTGACCTTTCCCCCTCTTATCCAGGGTCCATAGGACGTGTTTGCAGTGGCCCTCTACACCCCTCTTCTTCACAAAGCACCTCGATTTCTCTTGGAGAAACACTTCTCCTGGTTCACCCACGAGGTGTGCGTGGGACTGTCACCCACCTAAGCACTGAGAGTATTAGATCCATTTGCAGCAGTGATTGGACCCAGAACGGCATGTGACCCAGTCGGGACCAGTGAGAATCAGGTCGGGACTTTGCTGGACCTGCTGGAAAGAGACTTTGCCCCTCTGGGCTGGGTGCTCTGAGGAGAGCAGGGGGGGGGGGGGGGGGGGGGGGGGGGGGGGCCTGACGTCAGGACGGCAGAGCTGGGAGACAACACTCCAAAGATGTTCCTCACGCGATGTGAGCTTCTGGATTTAACTGCGCCTGAAACTATTCAACTACAGGGTCCGATGATTCCCTTTTGGAAACAAGACACTCCCAAGTGGTTGCTTCACCGGTCTTTTCCTTCGTCTAAATCATGTTTTGGTTTGGAAAGTCCTTTTAGGGCCATAAAGAGATATAATTAGTAAAAGGGGAGCTGGCAAGGGTCGCAATGCCTAGGGCCTGTCAAGTCCCGGACACAGCCCTCTAACTGGGCGTAAT